GTGGGAAACAGTTTGGCAACTCCCCAGTGGATAGAGAGTAATTAAATTACCCAGAAACCCCACTCCTGGATATATAACCAAGGGAAATGAAAACATGTATGTATGTCCAAAACTTACACAAAAATGTTCATAGCATTATTTCAAAAAGCCAAAAAGGGTGAGGCACACTGGCTCACGCCTGTAATCCCAGCACTTTGGGAGGCTGAGGCAGGAGAATTGCTTGAGCCTTGGAGTTTGAGACCAGCCTTGGGTAATACAATGAGACCCTGTCTCTACAAAAATAATAATAATGTTTTGGCCGGGCGCGGTGGCTCAAGCCTGTAATCCCAGCACTTTGGGAGGCCGAGGTGGGTGGATCACGAGGTCAAGAGATCGAGACCATCCTCGTCAACATGGTGAAACCCCGTCTCTACTAAAAATACAAAAAAAAATAGCTGGGCATGGTGGCGCGTGCCTGTAATCCCAGCTACTCAGGAGGCTGAGGCAGGAGAATTGCCTGAACCCAGGAGGCGGAGGTTGCGGTGAGCCGAGATCGCGCCATTGCACTCCAGCCTGGGTAACAAGAGCAAAACTCCGTCTCAAAAAAACAAAACAAAACAAAACAAAAATAATGTTTTAAAAAATCAAATAGCCAAAAAGTAAAAACTGCCCAAATGTCTGTTAGTTGATCACTGGATAAACAAAATGTAGTACATAAAGGACCACGTGTTATATAATTCCATTCGTATGAAATGTCTTGAATAGAGAAGTTTTAGTTTTAGCCCTTACATTTCTATGACTCATTAGAGTAAATTTTTTGTATTTGGTGTGCAGTAATCATTGAAATTCATTTTTTTATCATGTGGATATCCAATTGGCCCAGTGCCAGTTACTGAGGAGTCTAGGGTGAGTTTTGCCAGCATTTTATGCCACGGTGTGACATCACTCATGTCATCTCTCTATAGACCAGAGTATATTTCAAAACAGAAAGTGTTAGTAAAATACAAATGAAACCAAGACAGAAAGTAGCCTGTTGGTTGCTTATGGCTGCACTGGGAGGGGAGTGTTAGGGGAGTAGGGGCAATAGCTAAAGGGCACAGGGTTTTTTAGGGGGTGACGAAATGTGCTGGAATTAGACAGTGGTGATGGCTGCACCACCTTGTGGATATACTAGTACCCACTAAATTATATACTTTAAAGGAATTATGTCTCATATAATTTATTTAAATTTTATCTCAATTTTTAAAAAGTCATTGAATCAGCCAGACATAATTTTTGGAAAACACAAAATGAGTTAACATATCTGTGGACACCCATGGGTAGACTTAAACTCAGGATTCAAGGTTTCTCATTTAAGTGAGAGACATAGCATTCCTCTTTGGTACTGCACTGAAACATAATACAAGGTTAGTTTTCTGTAAAGCTCTGCTAAAAATTCAATTCCCTTTGGACTAGCATCCAGCAGCTATTGCAACAGCACAGTGGGTTTCAGGTGTAAAACTGGGGCTGGATATCAAATTGCCAGCATTCTCACAGCCACCATCTTTCTATCATAAACACCGGGAGAGCTCTCAGATTCAGACTCCCCACATATGGCAAGCAGCTGAACAAACACCCACTTAAATCACTGCCTCAGCATTTCTAGCTTAGGACAAGTTTTCCTGTGGAAGGCTGGGGGCTCCAGAGGGGAAGCGCCAGTGCCTGCCAACCAGTTAGTGTGCACAACGAGGTCTCCCAACAGCCGCCCCCACATCACCAGCTTCCTGACAATATCCACAGAAGCACAGGTGTCCCGTTCGTTTTCCTAATAAGCCAGAACTCTCAGGGGTGTGCAGGTCCCTCAGGTGCACTAGGAAGAGCCATGGGTCCAAGACTGTCCACAAGGGCCTGGCCAGGTGCCTTCCTTCTCTGGGCCTTGGTTTTAAATGTGACACATCTAAGGAGCTTTCCAGATAAGGCTTAATGATTTTCCAATTTACTTTTTGTGTGTAACTATTTGTCATGGAAAGCATTAGAACACATATGGGACATATCTCTTCCTTATCAGAGCATGTTTGACTTAACTCTTTCTTGCTGATTTAGTCATCTTTTATCCACGTCAAATAGTCATTTATTTATTTATTTTTGAGACAGAGTTTCGCTCTTGTTACCCAGGCTGGAGTGCAATGGCGCAATCTCGGCTCACCGCAACCTCCGTCTCCTGGGTTCAAGCAATTCTCCTGCCTCAGCCTCCCAAGTAGCTGGGACTACAGGCATGTGCCGCCATGCCCAGCTAATTTTTTTGTATTTTTAGTAGAGACGGGGTTTCACCATGTTGACCAGGATGGTCTCGATCTCTTGACCTTGTGATCCACCCGTCTTGGCTTCCCAAAGTGCTGGGATTACAGGCGTGAGCCACTGCGCCTGGCCTATTTATTTATTTTTAAGACAGGGTTTCACCATGTTGGTCAGGTTGATCTTGAAGTCCTGACCTCAGGTGATCCGACTGCCTTGGCCTCCAAAGCGCTTGGATTACAGGCGTGAGCCACCACCATGCCTGGCCCAGTCATTTATTAAAATCGACTGCTGTTGATGTGCTGACCTTAGGCCTAATGACCTCAAGCTCACTCTGTATTGTTGTATTGTATATAACTCACGTAACCATGCTCACAGCTTTTCCGTCTTCTCTCCCCACCTGTACATGTCTGTCAATGAGACCCATCCTTTCTATTTCCAAGTTACCAGCGACTGTTACCTTGGCTAGATGAATGGAGCATTGTTAACGTCTATAAAAAGAACCTTTGCACACAGTCCCACGAAAATCCACCAGAAATCACACACTGAATGCCTGACCTCTTCCTAATGCCCAGGTTTCTACCTTTGACTGTATTTTAAAACCTAAAGGGAGTCAAATACACTTTAGTGAAAGCATCCCATTTAAACCCCCTTTTGCTGACAAGTGGAGGCGAGGAGAGGCCCAGGAGGCAGAGAGCTGCTCCATCTGCTCCCTTGTGCTTGGAGGCTGAGCCTCAGGCCCCACGTTGGAGCTGGCCCGGGCCCCAGCCGTCCTGATGAGTCCCCAGTGCTGCCGCTGAGCCAGCCTGGAAGCTGAGCTGCCACGTTCACAGGCTCTCCCTTACAGTCCTCATGCAGTTGTGATTAATTTGGAAGAGACTGCGGTTTAAAAATCGACCAACACTTTCCACTTAAATCACTTAGGTATACATTTTCTTATGGAAACTGTTGTGCTGAAGTTAGTAATTATCTGTAAGCTTCCACCAGGCCCCTCTCAGCCTCTGGCGGGTGCAGCTGGTGCTGGGATGCATTCTCACTGCACTGGGCCCACATGCACAGGGTGCGGGCCTCCCACACCGGCAAGAGCTCAGTGATGCAGGGGCTGCTTCCTTTAAAAGCTTTGTCATGCCATTGTCCCCACACAACCTCATTCAACGGAGCTGGCAAGTCTCTGAGCGGCGGGAAGGCCCTGTCTGCATTTCCAGCCTCCTCCGTTGTCTTGTGTCTTCTGTCTGTTAGGCTGGACGCTTCTCAGGGAAACCTCCCCAAGGCCTGGGGAGGCCACAGCACTTTTAATCGCGGCAGTGCTCGACTGCGACTTAAGCAGCACCCCCAAGTTTCCCTTTCTACATCAGTCACTGTGAAAGGGCAGAAAGGAAAGCACATCTTTCAGAGAGTGGCCCTAGGAACTCGACGTCTCAGGCGAAGCCTACTGTGAGCCTTCTGTCACCCCTGACCTGCAGTGTGTTCTCACAAGAGCAGACAAAAAGATACTTTTTTGTGTATGTGTGTTTTTTGTTTGGTTTGGTTTTTTGAGACAGTCTCACTCTGTCGCCCAGGCTGAAGTGCAGTGGCATGATCTCAGCTCACTGCAACCTCCACCTTCTGGGTTCAAGTGATTCTCCTGCCTCATCCTCCTGAGTAGCTGGGACTACAGGTGTCTGCCACCATGCCCAGCTACTTTTTGTATTTTTAGTAGAGACGGGGTTTCACCATGTTGGCCAGGCTGGTCTTGATCTCTTGACCTTGTGATCCACCCGCCTCGGCCTCCCAAAGTGCTGAGATTACAGGTGTGAGCCACCGCTCCCAGCCCAAAAAGACAAGTTTTTAAGAACTGAGAGGGTGGGGCCACAGTTACTCTTATCAGCTGTGAATATGTGTTCAGGTTCCAGTAAGTAAGCTGTGTTGTGGTTTCATGATCTAAATTCGCAAGTCAGTTCTGGTATAGCCAGAGGCTACTGGGTCCTGCTATGAATAGAAACAAGCAGACATGTCCAGAATTTTCACAGCCCATGGGCGAAAACAGACTCTTCCAGAACTGCACACCTAGGTATCTGTGAGATTCAACTGGATTTCCCTGCTTTCGGGGCTTTTGACCTTAAAATGCCATCTCATCACGAAGATGATTTGGTGAAGCTGACTTTCACCTTTCCTTTAATGCAGTGGGAGACGCGCCGCCACTGGGCACAGTGAGGGTACCAGGGTGGGCTCCTGTCCATGCCCAGGACAGTGTGTGGGCTGGGCGCCACTGGGGTGAGTCCTGAGGACCAACAGGCGAGGAGCGTCCAGGCCCAGCCACAGCCCTCAAGGAGCCTCATTTCAAAGGGCTTTTCAGGTCAGATGCTAAAATAGCTGCTTTCCAGCAAGGAGCCTGGCACATCTGCTGGGGGCATCCTCTGACCCATCCTCCCCAGACCGTCCAGGTTGTCGTGGACAAGGACAGACCAAGGAGCCATCTCAGATGGAAGGTGTGTGGGGAAACCTGTGAAATGGGAATACAGCTGTAGAGTGGTTACGTACAATGTTTATGATAGGAGCCTGGAGGCTGTGTGACTGTATAGAGACCTACAGTGGGGCAGACGTGTGTGTCAGCGAGGGCAGGAGGGGCAGTCGGCGCCCATGGATGCTGTGTGCACACTGGGACCCTGATTTTCGCCAGACACCTGGAACGGCACCCCATGCCCCTCCCACGGCCCCTTACCCCTCACCAATGGAGCCGTCTGTAACCATTTCTTCTCCCCATGCAGGAAAAGTACCCAGATGCTGTGCGCCTCTCAGAGGGGCCCTCCTCCCCATCCATGGTGATCCACAGTGCCGGCCAGCCAGGGTGAGTCTGCAGAGGCCACAGGGCCTCCCATTTCCTGTTAAAACATGGATTCTAGGGACCGGGCGCAGTGGCTCAAGCCTGTAATCCCAGCACTTTGGGAGGCCAAGGCGGGTGGATCACAAGGTTAAGAGATCGAGACCAACCTTGGTCAACAAGGTGAAACCCCGTCTCTACTAAAAATACAAAAAATTAGCTGGGCATGGTGGCGCGTGCCTGTAACCCCAGCTACTCAGGAGGCTGAGGCAGGAGAATTGCCTGAACCCAGGAGGCGGAGGTTGCGGTGAGCCAAGATCGTGCCATTGCACTCCAGCCTGGGTAACAAGAGCGAAACTCCGTCTCAAAAAAAACAACAACAACAAAAAACATGGATTCTAAGTAGTAAACCACCTGACCGAGAACCAAAGGTCGTGGGTTGGAGGAATCAGTGGTTCCAGCAGATACACCCCAGCATAGGGGTGTGGGGAGCTGGAGCTCTGGAGGATGTGCTGAGCCGCAGGGGGAAATGCCAGTCCTGGGGCCTGCCAGTGATCGTTTCCCTATGGGATCCTTAGAGAACCACGGAAGGGAGGCTGGGAGAAAGTGGAGATGCTTGTGGATCTGCTGTTACTTCAGAAATAGGGGTGAATGAGTGGAAAGCCCTGAGGAGCCAAGCAATGAGAAGAAACAGGGGGACAGGCTCAGTGCCCCAACAGCACAGCCCATCCCTCCACCAGTCCCGGGCACCGCCCTGACCCATGCCGTGTTCTCCATTCTCTTCCCTTGGTGCACGCATGTGTGCACATGTATCCATCTGGGTGTACTCTTATGACCTGTGTGTAAATGCCTCAATTCACGGGTTTCCAAGCTTTAAAATCATGTGGTCCTTATGCAGGCTTCTGGGACTTGCCTTTGTCACCCTTCACCTCCTCTAGGATCATGAGCAGCTGCAGCGCAGTTTCGCTCATCCTCAGGGAGGGATTCATACAGTGTCTTTCTGTGCTCTTCAGCTCTAGAGCATGTGGCTGCTTCGTTCTGGCTCACACCCCCGGCACACAGTACACAAGCTTCTCCTGGGTTCAACTGCCTAGAAATGAAATTCCTGGGTCATAGGTGGATGCACGTTCAGCTTTCTGTCAATGCAGATTATTTCCAAAGTGGCTGGTCCATGTCTGCTCCCACCAGTAATTTTGAAGTTTCTGCTGCTCCATGTTCTGTACTTCACTGGTATTGGCCTAATGTTTGCCAGTGCAGTGGGTACAGAGCAGCACCTTTCTGTGGTCCTGGTTCCATTTGCTTGTGCTACTGACCATGCCTCTTCTTCGCTGTGTGTCAGGGTTTCTAGGAGCAGGGGAGCCCAGCGTGGGGAAATGGAGACCAGGCATGACTCATGGTTGCTAATCTTTTAGCCAGATTTCAAAAAGCCCCTAACGATGTGTTTTACCACTTTTTCAGGTTTGAATTAATAATTGTTTGGAGAATACAAATAGATGAAGATGGGAAAGTTTTTCCAAAGCTGGATCTTCTCACCAAAGTCCCACAGCGAGGTAGGGCCCCTGGGTGTAGCTGCTTTAGGTGCGTTCTCGACGTGACCAGCAAAGCTGCCTATTTCCTCTGGGTTTCACGGGGCAAGAATTAAAAGAAGTTGGAAATTTCATTAATGTACTTTGTCTATCAAGTTTTAAATATTGTAACCATCAATAATCACTTAAAAAAGAACATGAAAAGGGCTTGCTCCCCCAGGCCCGCAGGCTGAAAGCACAAGGGAATATGCCTCTAGCCGTAGGTGACGCCTCACACTCTGTCTCTCCTCCTCGCCTGTCCCTAGCACGTCCCATTCCGTGTAGGCAGTTGCGGCGGGGGGTGGGGTGGGGGGTTCTTGGTGAGGTCCACATCAGCAGAAAACACAAAACCAAAGCCGCCACCTGGAAGTTTCTTACCCAGTTTAATGTTTTCTTTATAGCCCTGGAGCTGGACAAGAACAGAGCCATAGAAACCGCTCCTCTCAGCTTCCGAACCCTCCTAGGAGTGCTCGGAATCGAAGCTGCTCTGGAAAGCCTGATAAAATCGCTTTGTGCAGAGCAGAACGGCTAGTTCCGAAACAGTGAACAGAGAGGATGAAGATGCTGTGAGAGGAGCGTGAGATTTTACTGAATATAAACATTTGCTGTTTTCCACTTAGAAACCACACCCTGAAGACATGTCTTCTATGCAGTTAAGGCACATTCTGTAAAAACTCTCATGACATGAAAAATAGTTAAGTATAAAATGCCAAATAAAAGTGACATGTACAATGTGTTTTATAAAAATAAGCTTAACATCTGAGAAAACGTACCGAGTGGTTGTGTGTCCTCAGACGTGTGGGGAGGAGCCAGTCCCCACCCACCTCGGCCTCACACTGAGTCCACCGTGACAGGCAGCCACACTCCTCAGCTGGGAGAAGCCACCCTTTATCCTGGTTCCTGCGTCCTGGGGGCTCTGGAGACAGATGCCTATGGCACCTCATTTTTAAACTTTGGTTAGTAGCCCAGGGGAGCCCCGCCCACACTCCTTGCCACCCCCAGGTCCGAACGGTGGCACCGTAAGGCAGTCCCAGCAAGTCCTGATGTTCTTCTTGGTCTTCCACAAGAAAATGGAGTTGTCAGCTTCTTCAAAACGAGAATGTCCTAAGACAGCAAAGATAGCACTGTTCCTGGGCCAGGGTGCAAGGAATGAGGTCCTTTATGACAGACCCTGTGCAGAGCCGAAGTGCTACATTGACAGTCCCAGATGTGCCGTCAGAACCGTGATCTCATCAGTCACCCATTAGCACTGTTAGGATCTGTGGACTAGAGCTGTCTCAAACCAATCAAGGCCGTCATGGAGCCTCAACTAAGCAGCAGCAGCGGCTTCCAGGAGGGGCCAGAAATACGTCCATAGCAGTGGCGCCTGCAGCTCAGGGGATCTTTACAGCCTGGGCTCGTGGCAGCCAAGACCAGACAGAATGGGCGTCTCCATCTGTTTTCTCGTCTTCAATACAGGTTATTTTCATCGTGTCTAGTCCAGCCCTGTCTGGGCCCTGTGCTAGGCTGTAACTTTTGCAGCCCTGAAGGATCCAGAGAGCCCAGCCCGCCTTCCCATTGGGGTAGGAGTCCCTCACATGTGCACTTGAACCCAAGACCCAGTGTCCTTCATACACTATGACAGTGGGCAGAATCATCCCAAACAAGGCTTCCCCAGCCCCATCCCAGCAAGAGTGAACTCCCTTGGGTCAAGACAGTATTCACGGCTACTTCCCTCCACACTTCCCAGAGCCTGCCGGTCGTCACCATGAGCTCTGTCCACTTCGCTTAGGTGCAGTCTCCAAAGCCCCCATGCCAGCACACGGGACGCTTGTGTATGAGACAGTGTCATTCGAAGTGAGAAGAAAACAGTCAAGGTGTCCAAATGTCTAAGTATCTTTTTGCACCTCTGAGTATAGAATAAAATTACAAGTAAATAGGACAGAATGGAACAATAAATTCTAGAAGAGTTGCCTTGATTCAAACAAGTATAATTCTCAAGTTATCACAAAATTTCCCACAAAACTTTACAATCAGCAAAATAGTTTCCTTATTTCTCATGTATCATTTTCATATAATTCCATGGTTTCACTAATATTATATGTTACAATAAGCCTCCATTAGTCCCTCAAAACGATGATATAAATAATCAGTCTGTACAACCTAGCATACAATAAAAAACTGAAACCAAGATTCCCAACGTTTTTCATAGCAGCTGGGCACACTTTGGTGACCCCAACAAGAACCCTCTCGGCAGCAGCCAGGAGCTGTTTGCCTTCCAGAAGCAGGGCCTGTGGCAGCCGGACAGGAAGAGGCCATGGCGCCCAACAACGCATCTCAAGGCAAACCCGAGGGAGGAACTCAGTCCAGGAGGAAGAGAAAACTTGCTCCTCAATCACCCCAAACACCGGAGTGTCAGAAAAGCACTGAGCTGTTGGGGCGCACTGCCCAGCCCGGCCACAGCAGCTCAGCCAGCCACAGCTCCACCTCCAGCTTCTACAGCAGCAATTTCCAGTGGGAAAGAACACATCTCCCCTTCATGTGAAAGATAAAATCATAAAGCAAAAAAAAAAAAAAAAAGGTCAATGCTCGCATGAGTGGTGTCCATCCTGACCTGAGTGAGTCTCGTGCTCCCTGCCGCCCCGCGTGGAGCCGTGGGCTTCAGCACCGCCACAGGGACCCTGAGTCTATACTGCTCAGAACTGGTGTCCAAACAACCATGAGGTCACGCTCTGCAGCAGGGAACCCCCTAAAAACCTGTGTTGATATGTGGCTTGCACTGAAAAAGTGACCATGTAACTCAGCTGGGGAAAGTTCCAGTAGTATCCATGTTTCCTTAAAAGTCCAAACTGTAAATATATGTAATAATTCAAGTTTTCTATGTTAGGAGTCTGGTGGTAGCAGATCCAAAGCTTGGGTCTTAGAATAAGGCTTTTTTGCATTAGAGAATCAGACACGAGCCCTGGTTGGGAAGAAAGAACTACCCAGAGGGTCTCCCCAGGGCTTAACGGACACTTCCATTTTAAGAATGTGAGCAGCTTCCTGGGACACAGCACTCATGTCCTACATTCCTTGTCCAGGAAGATGTTTCTAGTGCTCTTCAATTTCATTTCTCCAAGAGGCAATCCCACCTCAACAGGGTTTAAAAGCAAAAACATTCACAACCAAAGGTCACGCAACACAACAGAAAATAGCTCTATCATTCAACCTTCACATTCTATGTTCAAGTTTCAAAGACACTGCAGGCAAAGAGTTAGACCTTGTGGAGAACTAATGTGCAATCTTCACTTTCCTTGAACCGAGTCGACATCACAGCGTTGTCTTTGGCACATACTGTCTTTGAATAATAGTTGACGATCTTGCCGTCCAGCTTATACTGATGGGGAATGCTCTCGTAGGGCTTGAGGTCAAGGTCCAGCACAGACACGGAGAAGGCAAACCTGGACCTCGATGAAGGGACGACAGGCCTTTGATCAGAGCTGCAAGGAAAAAAACACCATTTCAGGACGCACAAGCCTCCCAGTTCACTTCCCTCCCTCCTGTTCTCTCTCCTTTCCTTCCTTCTTTCAACTGATACGTTTTTATTATGTTGTTTTTTCTTTGACTTCTGCAAAGTTAGATAAATTGAGACGTGAATGTCCTCACACCCCAGCTCACGAAAAGCACCTGTTCTGTGCCTCCGCGCATGACAGCTGTCTGTGCCGGCTGTTGTGTACCAGCACGCAAGGCTTCCTCGGGCCAGTGCACCCCATCATACCAGGCGAGAGAGGGTTAAAGGACTGAAAGATGGAAAAGCGATTATGTGGAACATGTGAGCGATGTTCCCCCAGCCCAGTGGTATAAACGAACGCTGAAAAGTCACTTTATCATGAGCCAAGTATTACAAAACCCAAGAAAAAGTAAAAAGTAGATCTGGCTGTTCCAGTGCCAAATGGATGAAATGTCGACAAGACGATTTCTGTGCCTCCCCTGTCTGCTAAGAAACGCAGGCTCCTTTGTGTGGTTCACATTGGAGAGATCTGGTTTCTCATTTTATTCTCAAACTTTATCTTTACTCCTTTGTATTTTGCTCCTCAGGGGTTAGTTTTTGGTTTTAACAAATATCAGAATAGTCGTGCTTATAACAAGATGTGAATAATTCTTTGCCCTGAAAAACACATCCAGGATCTCCGAGTCCTGAGCTCCGACTGCTGTGTGTCCCGCTTCATCTGAGGGCACTCAGCACACAGCACTCATGTCACTGGCTCAATAAGTGACCTAAGCTCAGTTCAGTCCAGGAGAAGTATTCTGGGTTCTGGTGTCCCCCCGTTTACTACTCTTCGAGATTCAGAAATCAACAAACCCAAGCCTAACTTCAAAAGCTCCCGCTGAGGAGAGGAAACACTGATGAGCATGTCCCTGCTCTGACCCTGCTCACCACAGCCTTGGCGCCCTCTCCTGCCCTGTCCCAGAATCCTGTGTAGGAAAAATGAATCCCTGACTCAGTTGCTGGGGTCAGTAACTATTCTTGCCTGAATAGTAAACAGCAAATAACTCATTTACAAATTAAGGTCTTGAGCCTCGCTCCAGAAGCTGGAAGGCGCCTGCAGGTTGTCCAAAGGGGCTCCATTTTACTGCGAGAACCACTGAAGCCCAGGGCAGCATTAAGTTCTGAGACCTGAGACCCAAGCTTGGTGCAGCTGGGCTGGAAGAGTCACATCCCCGGCCCGTGACTAGGGCTACATATTTTAAAGGACACCTCGATTTCTCAGAACCAGCACCTGACAAGACAATGGGTGTAAAGGCAGGCAGGATGTTCCAGGCAGCTCCCAGGGGAGTCGGGGGTGGGGGGTCTGACTACCTGGGCTGACCACAAGCTCCATGGGAGCCAATGGCAGTGACCAGTGGGCACCAGCTTCTGACACAGAAATGCTCTTCTCCTCAGCAGCCCTGAGGCCAAGACTGGGCAAGAGGCTCTCAGGGACACACATGTCCCTTGTGCCACAAGTGTGCCCTCTGGCAGCCTTGGAGAACGAGGCTCAGGTGAACTTCTGGCTGCTGGGGGGCTGCCCTTGCCTGGAAGGCTGCTCTCCAGGACACTGACCCACTGGGGGTCGCCAGGGGACAAGCAGCCTCCAAGGGTGCTGGGGACTGGGGTGCAGAAGCCAAGGCTGCCCGTGCTGTGTTTCAGACGGGAGGTCGAGAGGAGCAGCAGGGTTTAGGCACGGAAGGCCGTGGCAGCTCTCTCCACAGTTCCAAATTCCCAAAGGGACAAACCTCTGCAGTGACAGGCAGGCAGATCCAACTTTAGATATTTTGGTTTATGACAGGGCAGAAACAGTAGTGCAGAGCTAGAGAAGCCTTTACGTGAAGGAATATAAGAAGTTTCAATGTGGTCAATCTATCTGTGAGCTGTAAATTAAAGTCTAGGGATCTAAATTTAGTCTCAGGTCTAGCAGGCATCTCAAGATGCCAGGATGACTCATGGTAAGTCCCGGCCTTAGCTTGTCCCTAGGCCTCTAGGGCGCCACAGTCGCTGGAACTTACGGGTGCAGCCCTGAGTGCACCTTCCTTGAAGCGGGTCCTGCCCCACCACGTCACGTTCTCGTGTTCTCGGAGAAGCCTTCTGAGATCTCCTCCCTTTCTTTGTTGAGAAGGGCCTGGCTACAGTGCTTTGTGCATGATGGTTCCTGTGCCTTCACCCCAGGTCTCAGAAGCCATTGTGGCTCAGTGCCTTCGGGACACGCCCTCCCCTCCCCTCCCAGGGTCGGTTTCTGTTGAGCAGTTGGGCAGGCTGCAGTAAGGACCCGGGCCCTCAGCTCTCCCCACATGCTGTTTCCATTTTGACATCACTGACTGGGCACCGAGAGATTCGCAGTGCTGGACGAGGTGCGTAGCACACCGGCCTTCAACGGCCTTTCACAGCCCACCTGAGCACCTGCATCCAAGCACGTTTCCACCTCCCAGCTGCATCCGTGGTCAGGAGGGCTGGTGAACAGTGGTGTCTGCAGCTTTTTTCTCATCAAACAACACCAGCTTAATCCAGCTGAGGAATTCCTCATATCTTAGTCCTGTGGGTGTTTTCTTAGGGCATAACAGGAGTTTTCAACTAAACAGAACCACCTTTTTTCTACTTGAGTTATATGTCTTTTAATTTTCAATATTTCACACCGGAAAGTAGATAATTCTGTGCCTGCCAGGGAACAAGAATCCTGGGAAGTGTTAGTTCAAAAGCACTAGGAAAATGAGTGGCTAGCAGCCAGCAACCAAGGTCATCTTGACCCAGGAACACACGTTAGAAGAATGTGGAACATTCCACAGATACTGGGTGCAGGGTTTGGCACCCCTGAAGACCAGTGCTGAAGATGCTGTCTGATTACTATGAGATTATCAGTTTCATCCTGAATTCCCAGAAACAGTGAGAGGGGACTGGACAAAAATAGTGACATTAGGGAGAGGGGCTGCACACAGGCTGGCTATTCAGAGGAGGAAGCCGAAGAATGAATGTGCGCCTCACAGGTGTTCCCATGACTGTGGTGGTGAAAAGCAGGCATGCCACGCTGCCCGGCAGGAGACCCAGGAGCAAGGCCCACAGGCACCCACAAAGCTCAGGCCTTGGCAGAAGCGGTAGGGCTGGCTTTGAGGGAAAGGAATGGGCAGTTCACTGTCCATGTTGTTGAAGTGTTTTCTTAGAAAACAGTAACTTTTAATGTAATAACAATCCTTGAGTTATTCTCCATAAATCTGTCTTTTGACTGAATTACAAGCTTCTAGAGGGCAAGAGTTAATAGCCCCATGATGTCATGTAGGCCAGGGAGGTCAAGGTCCTGTCAAGGAGTCTCTAAATATGGGAAAACCAACTGTCCATAAGCCCCCTTTAGACCCAGGCCGCGGGCTGTGCAGTGGGCGCCTCACCTGGCATCCTGCAGACAGGGGGAGAGCGCGATCATGATGGAGCAGTCCTTGGCAGTCATGGCGACGCGGTACTGCTGCACCTGCCGGGGAGGGAGAGATCAGTTCCAGGTCTCACAGGAAGCCTCTGCCCCCTATGCAACCTTCCTTCCTAGCCACGTGCAGAAACCGCTTCCTGCCTCAGAACCCAAGGGTGGGATTAGGAGCATGGGCCACAGTGAGCAGGGGTGTCAGGAGGTCTCCCTGTGAGAGCACCTGGGCCAGCTCTCAGCCCCACAGGGCTGCTCAGAGGCTGGCATTACCCCCTGACTTCTCAAGGCAAGCAGTGTGGGACCCTGACTCCAGACCCTGAAGCGGATTATCTGTCTTCAGCAAGGTCACCATGGTCAGCCTTTAGAAGGAAAAACAGTAAGCCGCCTGAGCCCCCGGATGTTGGCCACACTCAGAGTATCGAGCAAGCATCATTTGACACCTCAAAGAAGAGGGTATAGGGTGTTCGGCAAGGCGTCGCTTAGAACAACAATCCCTCCGGAACGTCACACAGCCACCAAAGACAACTGCAGACGGCCACCCTTCTACAGGCTGTGCATATGTTAACTCGCTCCACCCTCACAGCAGCCCAGCAGGGCAGCACAGCTGGCATCCCACTTTATAGACAAGCAACAGACACAGAGATCATTTGTCTGCTGTGCCCTGCTCGTCAACTGCAGAGCAGGGACTCAAACCCAGTGTGCTGGCTCTGACATCTGCACTCTTCAACACATGCTCCAAGCAACATGGGTCTGTCCATACTGACCAGGGACAGCTCAACATACACTAACTGCCATCCATACAGACCGGGGACGGTTCAACACACACCACACTGTCATCCATACAGTCCAGGGACAGCTCAACACACACCACACTGTCAGAGTCGACATATATAAAGCCGTGCACATGCTCATGTGTGTGACACAGGCAGGGAGGGAGGTGAAGGCAGCCACCGCAATGCTCACAACTGTCCCCTCTACAGAGTAGAATGTGAGGTACTCTCTCCCCGTCCTCCTTTGGACTTTCATTTATGGTTTGCATTTTTTTTTAATATAGCTCTCACTTTCACAAATACAAACAGTTGTGGGAAAAAAAAAAAAAAGAATTGGGCCTCACACATCACTGGCCTTAATGTTTGTACTAATGACAGACCATCATTGTTTCTGAGCTCTTGAAGTATTTTCTTAGAAAACAGTAACTTTCAATGTAATAACAATCCTTTTGAGTTATTCTCCATAAATCTGTCTTTTGACTGAATTACAAGCTTCTAGAGGGCAAGAGTTAATAGCCCCATGATGTCATGTAGGCCAGGGAGGTCAAAGTCCCGTCAAGGAGTCTCTAAATATAGGAAAACCCACTGTCCATAAGCCCCCGTTAGACCCAGGATGTGGGCCGTGCGGTGGGCACCTCACCTGGCATCCTGCAGACAGGATCTCCTGTCCCTTTTAACTGCCCCCCTCAACTGCATACAACCGGGAAGATCTGGTCTTAGAAAACAGCCCAGCTGCACCTTCCAAAGGGCAGGACTGGGTGGGAGGGAGTGGGGCGAACCTCAAGGCACAGATTTAGCTCAGGCCCGCAGACTGTTCTCGGGGCACGAGAAAACCTTTCATAGCAGAAGGGAATGAGCAGCTCGTACACGCTATTCAGTTAACTAGGAAATCAGCTATGTCCCAGAGTACCAAAAAAAAAAAAAAAAAAAAAAAAAAAAAAAAATCCCAGTCCAAAAGAATTACCAAATATTGAAAACATAAAATTAAAAAGCTTTAGGCCGGGCGCGGTGGCTCAAGCCTGTAATCCCAGCACTTTGGTAGGCCGAGGCGGGTGGATCACGAGGTCGAAAGATCGAGACCATCCTGGTCAACATGGCGAAACCCCGTCTCTACTAAAAATACAATAAAACTAGCTGGGTGTGGTGGCGCGTGCCTGTAATCCCAGCTACTCAGGAGGCTGAGGCAGGAGAATTGCCTGAACCCAGGAGGCGGAGGTTGCGGTGAGCCGAGATCGCGCCATTGCACTCCAGCCTGGATAACAAGAGTGAGACTCCGTCTCAAAAAAAAAAAAAAAAAAAAAAAAAAAAAAATTAAAAAGCTTTAGCGGGACCAAGTGTAGTGGCTCACACCTGTAATCCAGCACTTCAGGAGACCGAGGCAGGAGAATCACTGGCACCCAGGAGTTCAAGACCCACCTGAGCAACACAGCAAAACCCCATCTCAAATAAACAGGATGGAAATGAATGAATGAAAAGTTTTTACATGGTACAGTCAAAATTCAAAGGCAAAAGATAAATGAATGACTAGGAGAAAATATTTGCAACATCTAACAGACTATAAATGTCAAGAATATGTAAAGTGGGCCAAGGCGGGCGGATCACAAGGTCAAGAGATCGAGACCATCCTGGTAAACATGGTGAAACCCCGTCTCTACTAAAAATACAAAACATTAGCTGGGCATGGTGTCACATGCCTGTAATCCCAGCTACTCAGGAGGCTGAGGCAGGAGAATTGCCTGAACCCAGGAGGCGGAGGATGCAGTGAGCCGAGATCACGCCATGGCACTCCAGCCTGGGTAACAAGAGTGAAACTCTGCCTCAAAAAAAAAAAAAAAAAATATGTAAAGTTTTAGAAATCAATATGAAAAAAAAAAAAACTATCCCCAAAAGATCACAAAAATTAAAAGAATGTATATATATGAAAAATTCAATCTTACTACAAATCAAGGAAATGCAAATTGTAACAATGAAGTATTTTCTAGTCATCAGATGGGCAGAACTACACACAAACACACATGTCGGCCCTTGATGTCTGCAAATTCCAGATGCAGAATCTCCGGATATGGAGGACTTGACTAAGGGACTTGAGCATCCTCAGATTTTGGTATCAGATTTTGGTGTGTGTGTGTCGTAAAATGAAGAGATCAGGCCTCCACTTCAGGTAATGCCAGAATAAGTAGTGGAGGCCAACCCACCTGCTGAGGCCAACTAACAAAGCTAGACAAAAATACCTGCTTGAAGGCAGAGCTAACAAGCCAGGGAAGAACTGCTGGGATAGGGAAGGACGGAGGCATCTAGGTCTGCTTTTCCAAGAGAGGGTGGCGATAATTCCACAGTTGGCCGAGAGGAACTTTTAACCAACCTTCAGGGCTATGGGAACAGTAACCATCATGACCCCCTTTTCTTTAGGTTAGTACCCAAAATACTGCCCTTTTTAGAGTAAAAGTGAGGCCAGGTACAGTGGCTCATGCCTGTAATCCCAATACTTTAGGAGCCCAAGGCAGGCAGATGGCTTGAGCTCAGGGGTTTGAGACCAGCCTGGGCAACGTAGCAAAACCCTGTTTCTACAAAAAATACAAAAATTAGGAGGCTGAGGTGGGAGGATCACTTGAGCCCAGGAGGTGAAGACTGCACTGAGCCAACATCACACCACTGCACTCCAGCCCAGGAGACAGGAGACCCTGTCTCAAACAAATAAACAGAGTAGAAGGGAGCCAAGGTAGACAGGCCCTACCAGCAACTGCAGTTTCACTTTGAAGAGACCAAACCATCACAACTGGATTAAAATGACTCCAGCTGCTGGTGTTTCCCAGGCTTCTGACAGAAACAAACCTAAAATTCTCTCTGGAAGAAGGTATGATCCTAGGCCTCAAGTGAATTCTAAAATAATTGCTCAAATACAATTTTGAGCACACAAGCAAAACTATGCAGACACAAGAAGACGATGACGTGAATGAGACCAACAAAAGCAAACAGAGCCACAGTGGGGGAGAAGGTCTATGGGAGCTACACATTCCACTTGATTTTGCTGAGAACCTAAAACTGCTCTAAAAAAATAAAGTCTATGAAAAGAAAAAGGTGCCACTGGGAAAAGAAAAACCCACAATAGTAGGAAAAAAACCACACCCATGGATTCCAACTACATACTGGAGGTGCCGGACAAACACTCTGCATCAATGAATAAAAAGACTTAATTCTGGCAAGGCAAGAGATGAATTCGAAAAAAAAAAAAAAATGAAAGAAAAATTAAAAAGATAAAGAATAGACAAAATTGAGAACTTCGTGGAGAACTGGAAATGATAAAATCAATCATTTAGAGATCCTAGAACTAAAAAGATGCAGAAGTGGATATGAAGAATTCAACAGATTAAACACCAGATGAGAAAAAGTTGAAGACGTCCAGGTGGATGGGATGATTTCAATAAACACAACAATGATTGACAGAAGACCAGCTAGCATTTCTCCTGTGTGGTTCCCTTGTGGTGCTACTGCTAGGGTTACAAGGAGGGAACAGTCACCCTCGCTGTAGCTCCCGGCGGGGAGCTGGCAAAACCAACCTTTAGCATGAGCTGAGGAGGCGACTGACTACTATGGTCTGAAGGGTTTGAAGTGTCTTCCACTGCTGCTTCCAAAGCACCTGCGTTTCCCACATTAGTCACTCTTTTTAAAATGCAAATGTTATTTAGGTAGTATCACACTACCACATTAACTAGTTTTCTAAACCAAGTTACCCTGAAGACATGGATTGGACAAAGAGAGATGATAATTTGGGGTCAAGGAACAGACAGAGCTAAGAAAATAGAAAAGCTAAAAAGAATTCCTAAACTAGAAGGCAGACCACAAGTACATATCCAGAGTGAAGCATGAAAGGATACAATCTAGAAAATACAGAGGAAAGGGTATAAGACATAGAAAATTAAGAGAAAGTGTCCGACATACTTGTAATTGGAATCCAAAAGAAAAGAGGAGCCGGCCAGGTGCAAGAAGACAGTAAAAGTACTTAATGATATTAGACTCCAGGAAGTCAACTGCTTGCTGGCAATAACTAAAATAACCACTAGAAAAAAAAAGTAAAGGGCTCTACAACTTCCAAGCAGAGTGGGGACATGGAATAATAAACAAAAAATAAGCCAAAAGATTGTGAGAACAGAAATAGAAACCTAAAATAGGTAAGAAAAATTTTAAAGTTTAAGCTTTAGTGTAAGTCTAATAAAACAACAAAGAGTGTCAGAATGAATAAAAAACCAAACCCAATTATATGGCACATTTTAAATACAAAAA